TCAAGACAATGTATTTTTCTTGGCTATGGGCGTGATGAATTTGGCTATAGATTGTGGGATCCGGTTGACAAGAAAGTTATTTGAAATCGTGATGTTGTGTTTTCTTGAAGACCAAACAATTGAAGACTTTTGAAAAGGTGATCAGCCGGAGCTAAAAACTAGTGATCTCATTGATATTGATCCATCTCCTTCGTCTTCGATGGATAATGAAAATGGGGGAGATGTGCAGCCACCTTTTGAAGATGTAGATGATGATGCTACTCCAAATGAAGTTGAGCACGAAATTAGGGAAGAGCATCCAACTCAAGAACCGTCACCACAACTTGAGTTCAGGAAATCTACAAGGGACTAACAACCTTCAAGAAAGTATCCTCCCAATGAATTTGTGTTGATTTCCGATCAAGGGGAGCCCGAGAGCTACTAAGAAGCAATTGAGCATGCAAAGAAAGATTATTGAAAAAAGGCCATGGAGAAGGAGATGAATTCCTTATTTGAAAATCGCACTTATGATTTAGTAAAGTTGTCTAAGGGGAGGAAAATTCTGAAAAATAAGTGGGTTTTCTAATTAAAGAATGATAGCAAGAATCTGAGGTACAAAGCACGTCTTGTTGTGAAATGCTTTGGGCAAAAGAAATGTATTGACTTTGATGAGATTTTCTTGCCGGTTGTGAAGATGTCTTCTATTCTGGTTGTACTTGGTATGGTTGCAAGTATGAACCTTGAAGTTGAGCAACTTGATGTGAAGACCGCATTTCTTCATGGTGACCTTGAAGAAAAAATATACATGAAGCAACCGGAAGGTTTTGTAGAGAAAGGGAAAGGGAAATTTGTTTGCAAATTGAAGAAAAGTTTGTATGGTCTCAAGCAAGCCCCGCGGCAATGGTACAAAAAATTTGACTCTTTCATCATGAATAATGGTTTTTCTAAAACCACTTCGGATCATTGTGTGTTTGTGAAAAACTTTCCGGATGGAAAATTTATTATTCTTTTACTTTATGTTGATGACATGTTAATTGTGGGTCAAGATTATACTATGATTAATAGGTTAAAATTGGAGTTGAGAAAGTCATTTACTATGAAAGATTTGGGACCAGCAAAGCAAATACTTGGTATGAAAATTGTTCATGATCGCAAAAAGGGGTTGATTTGGTTTTCTCAAGAAAACTACATTGAAAAAGTTCTTGAGAGGTTTAACATGGATAAAGCAAAGTCGGTTGGTTGTCCATGTGTCGGTTTCTCTCTAATTTGGGTAAAGAACATTGGGCAGCGGTAAAATGGATTCTAAAATATCTTTGAGGGACTTCGAAGGTGTGTTTGTGTTTTAGGGATGGTAAACTGATGCTTGATGGGTTCACCGATTCTGACATAGCCGATGATGTTGATTCTAGGAAATCTACTTCAGGATATTTGATGACTTTTGCAGGGGGAACTATGGCATGGCAATCTAAATTACAAAAATGTGTTGCTCTCTTAACTAGCGAAGCTAAATTTATTGCCATTATGGAAGCTTGCAAAGAAGATTTATGGTTAAAGAAATTTTTACAAGAGTTGGGTTTGAAAAAAGAAACGTATGTGCTTTATTGTGATAGTCAAAGCGCTATTCGTTTGAGTAAAAATTCTACTTTTCATTCGAGATCAAAACACATTGATGTGAGATACCATTGGATTCGTGATGTGTTAGATTCGAAATTGTTGCAACTCGAAAAGGTTCACACGGATGATAATATTTCGGATATGTTGACTAAGACTTTGTCGAGAGACAAATATTTGAAGTGTCGAACTTTGGCGGGTATGGTTGATATCTCCACCTAAGTCAATAGGGGGAGAGTTGTTGGGTATACCTCCTTATTGGAGTATGGGACCCAATTGGTTTGTTATAATATTTAGTTTGGTTTGGTGTTGGTTATAATATATTTTTAATATATTATACCTAACTTTTGGAGGCCCAATGAATATTTGATAATCAGTATGGTAATAACTAGGGTTTGATAAAAAGCCCTAGACTTCACAATATATATTGGTATTTTTTTTTTTAATTTAATTTTTTTTTTTTTTTTGTAGAGGAAGAAAAAAGCAACTATTTGGCTTGGTGGAAAATCAACAGTTTTGTTTGATCAAATTCAGTGATTCAATTGGTCAAGTACAGTACATGTATTTTGGCTGGGAAAAAGAACTTGATTCAATCTTATTTGTTAGTGCTCACTTTCAGTGCGGTTTCAAAGGTTCTGCTGTGGAGATTGATTTAGGTTATTATTTTGACTCTTCTTCAACTTTAGTTCGAAAATTTTTATTTATTTATTTGGTGAGATCTTTCCTTTTGATTATTTGTAATTATTTGGAATTCACCTAAAGGTGGTTTTATGAGACCATTCGTGTCTCGTTTATAATCGTTTGGAAAATTTTTGGTTGATAGTGGAATCGGATTTCGATCTCGTGGACGTACCTCATATTGAGGGAACCACATAAAATTCTTGTGTTGCTTTTGATTTAATTTTTTCACATTAGTTTTTATTCCCAATTGATTGATTTACTTGTGGGGAATCACATATTTTCCCTAACAACTGGTATCAGAGCATACGGTTTATTTGGGTTTAATTATTTGTGTAAATCAATTGAGGGAAATGTGGGTCGTATGTCTAGCTTCAATGGAAGCAATTGGGTAACTTGAAAAACTAAAATGGAGGACCTATTATTTTGTAAAGATTTGTATGGACCCATTGAAGGTGATAGTGGCACATGTATTTTGGCTGGGAAAAAGAACTTGATTCAATCTTATTTGTTAGTGCTCACTTTCAGTGCGGTTTCAAAGGTTCTGCTGTGGAGATTGATTTAGGTTATTATTTTGACTCTTCTTCAACTTTAGTTCGAAAATTTTTATTTATTTATTTGGTGAGATCTTTCCTTTTGATTATTTGTAATTATTTGGAATTCACCTAAAGGTGGTTTTATGAGACCATTCGCGTCTCGTTTATAATCGTTTGGAAAATTTTTGGTTGATAGTGGAATCGGATTTCGATCTCGTGGACGTACCTCATATTGAGGGAACCACGTAAAAATTGTTGTGTCGCTATTGATTTAAGTTTTCCGCATTAGTTTTTATTCTCATTGATTAATTACTTGTGAGAAATCATATATTTCTCCTAACAATTATAGCTATATTTAAAGTTCTAGTATTAGAGTTATGTATCATTACTAAAATATATATATATATAAATTTAATTATTAATATTTATACAATTTTTCATTAATTTATAATTAATTTCTCATATATCCACTGATGTGATATTTTTCCACAAAATTGTACACTTGGACACGAATCACCTTTCGGCACACGCGTACAGTCACTACCACCAATCAATAATTAAACAGTGATACTAAGAACTCAGAAAAAAATAAAAATAAATAATACTTAGAAAATGAAATTAATGGATAGGATTTACTCAAAATTTTGTCCTGCAATAATAACTTTAAACAGATACGGTAGATTTATGGGTCAAATACAAATGGGCAAACTATATTTGTAGTTTTTATATTTTGTCTCTTGTGTCATTTTGGTTATTTTATTTTTAATTGGCTTGATTTTGACTATTAATTTTAAATTTTGTGTCAATTTGGTCTAATTGATAATATCATTAGTGTTTTTGATGGAAAATACTCATTGAATTGGTTCAGATTAACTCACTGAGTTTAGTAAATTTATAATTTTATTCAAAAAAATATGACTTATATGCATTTTTTTAATAAAAAAATGTTAAGAGTTGTAATTAATTAGACTAAATTGAAACAAAATCATAAATTCATGGTCAAAATTGAGCCAATTGAAATTATGAGAATAAAATGACACAAGAACCAAAGTACAGGGATTGCTAGTGCAATTTGCCCAATACAAATACACATTTTGAGATTTATTTAAAATGTAGATTGATCCTTGTAGTTTTGAAAATTATAAATACTCTCACATCAACAAAATTTATTTAACATAATTAACAAAAAAAAATTAAATTTTTAACTACTCTTCTATACAACAACAAAATTATCTGAATTATTAATTGAAATATTTTTTTTACATATCATTAAAAATTATAATTGATCTGATGATTTATTAATAAAATGAGTTATTTGTTATGTGATTAGAAACTTGAAAGAGCGGGATGTAATTTTCAAAATTATATAAAACAATCTGTATTTTAAGTAAATTATGAAAAATGTATTGGTAATTTATCATAAATTTATTTTTCAAGATAAAAATCTGAGACCATTTTCCGGTCTCCTAAACTTTTCTATAATCTAATTAAATTATATTTTCATGAGTTAGTCCCACTTCACCAGTGATGAATAATCTTTATTTTAAATTCAAAAAAGGGTTAAGGAAAATCATAATTCATCTAATAACATGTTAAATATAAATTGTTATTTTTATATTTTAATGACATGTTACAAATTTATACAATGAAATAGAGATTTTTATGAAAAAATCCACATACATGATGCTAGCTAAATCTCAATATCTAACTTTGCTCATCTAAATTTTATTAGATATATCTTGAATTATCAAAAAAAACAAAATATTAAAAGTTGCTAAGAATAATCTATTATATAATAAACTAATTTTTTTAGCACCTAAACCCCACAATTTTAATCAATTCCAGAGCATCTCAACCCCACCATAAAAAGAAAAAAAAAAAGAAAAAAAAGAAAGAAAAGAAAACAGAGAATAGTATGAATGAAGGGAGAATATATAATAAAGATTTTATTTTTTAATTTTTAAAGAGGGGCTATAAAAAATTAAGGGATACATATACAATATCTAATGAAAAAAAAAAACTGTTTAAACTATAATAAAAATTGAAAATTTAAAAACTTGAGAAGGGCAACTGGCCACCTAGGTTGCATGTGGCCCCATCGTTGCAAGTAGAAAATGTTGAAAAATGACTCGTAGCTCGAATTTGGTGCGAAACCCAAAACGATGTCGTATCTAATGAAAAAAAAAAAACTGTTTAAACTATAATAAAAATTGAAAATTTAAAAACTTGAGAAGGGCAACTGGCCACCTAGGTTGCATGTGGCCCCATCGTTGCAAGTAGAAAATGTTGAAAAATGACTCGTAGCTCGAATTTGGTGCGAAACCCAAAACGATGTCGTTTTGGGTTTCGAATTTTTTTTTTCTTCCTTTTCTTTCTCTTCCTTTTCTTTCTTTCTTTTCTTCTTCTTCGTTGAACACAGGAGAAGAGCAGAGGCGAGAGAGAAACAGAGTCGTCGTTGTTGTCATTGCAGCTCGTCGGCAGCTCGTCGCTCGTCGGCCGATCGTCGCTCGTCGGCCGATCGTCAAATCACAGCCCCGCCTTTGTCTCTGCCTCCGCCCGCCGCCGCCTCCACCTCCACCTCCACCTCCACCTCCGCATCCACCCGATTTTGTTGGTCCCTCCAGTCCTGTTCTTCTTCTCCTTCTTCTTCCTCCTTCTTCTTCTTCTTCTTCTCCAAATTTGAGCTACGAATCGGAACTCAAAAATGTTTTATCGAGCCGCTAGACATGTCATAGTCACTTCGTTAATGCTAGGAGTACTTTTAAATAATGACTGATCATGTGTTTCGATGGAACTCCTCTCTATATAAAAACCAGGTTGCTTGGGTTGAGGCAAAATTGCACTGTCACTAACCAACATTAAGAACACAGATGACATCATTGGCCTATCTTCAGGGCATTTCTGCACGCATAGGAGACCAACTTGTATGCACCTTAATACCTTTGACATTGGAAATGAACGCTCCATCATTGGATCTAATAATTCAGAAGCCCTTCCTTCAGTCCAAAGGTTCCATGCCTGCAATGACTCAAAATATATGTAAAAATTAAATATAAGAAAATATGAGGAAAGTTAAAAAAAAAAAAAGGATTTTTTTTTTATAAATCAAGAACCCCTTCCAATGCAAGGTTACATTCAACCTACCCTTGCATGGTAAGCTTTGGATGGTTGCAACTACCCATAAACCACAAGCATTGGATAAGTCAGGGTGTTGCTAACAGAACACAATATCTTTGGTTTTATAGTTGGATCTTGTTTTGACCTTGAACCATTGAACCATAGGTTGTAAGGAGACATATTATACGTTTATGAACTTACATGTCCAAGGAGGTTAAGATCATGGTTTGAATAATGAAACATTCGGTTCCTTTTGCCACTCATTATTTCTAAAATTATGACTCCGAAGCTAAAAACATCTGATTTCATTGAAAAGAGGCCATCAATCACATATTCTGGAGACATATAACCACTGCATATCATTATCAAAGAAAAATAAACTTTAGACAAGAACTTAAATCTATAGTTTAACCTAAAACAAGGAAACATTACAATGTTTACTTACTAAGTTCCAACCACCCTTTCTGTTTTTGTTGATGATTGATCATGTCCAAAAGCCCTGGCCAAGCCAAAATCTGAAATTTTAGGATTCATCTCACTGTCAAGTAACACATTGCTAGCTTTAAGATCTCTATGAATTATTCTCAATCTTGAATCTTGATGAAGATAAAGAATCCCTCGAGCAATTCCCACAATAATATCCAATCGTGTACTCCATGTAAATGATTTACTTTTTTTTTCTACACCTGCTAGGAAATATTCACCAAAGATTTTTGCTTAGTTTATCATTTTTTTCCATAAATCATTTTAGTTAGACAAACTTCTTTGGCAATAATACTTTTTTTTCACTGGTCAAATATAAATTCCAAGTAAGAAAGATATGATACATGATCCAATGGCCCCAAATGCCCCCCAATCCCATATCATCCACATTCATTTGATTATATCATAAATTCCAGGTTATGAATGTCTTGGTACAGAAAACATAAAAAATTATAGACAAAGGATCCATGGTTGAAAGATACATAAGAAGGTTGAGAAGGCAAACCAAAAATGAAGGAATCCAAGCTTCCATTGGGCATATACTCGTAAACTAACATTCGTTCGTCTCCATGGATGCAACATCCCAAAAGCCTAACAAGATTTCGGTGTTGAAGCTTGGCAATCAAAATAACCTCATTTTTGAATTCATCCACACCTTGTTTGGAGCTTGTTGAGAGGCGCTTGACAGCTATGTCTTTTCCAATTGATAGTTGACCCTAAGGTATTAACATAATAAGGTTCAGAAAAATATTATACAAACTAACAAATCTTGTATATTTTTCTTGCAATGATAAAACTTCGTATTCTAAAACAAAATCTACTTCAATGGTATGATAGGTGCCATATCAGTTAGTATGCAAAAATGGTAAGATTTGGTAATTTATATGGCATTACACCAAGATTTATTTTCTATGAAAGAATAGAGCAATAGAATAAACATACTTTGTAAACAGGCCCGAAACCACCTTCCCCAATTTTGTTTGTGTCAGAAAACTTGTTAGTTGCCGTTGCAATGGTGATCATATCAAAAATGGGCAATTCTAGTTTTTCTTCATCACTGGCTTGATTGTTGAATCCAACATCTGTTAATCACAAAACACACAAGAAAATGTAGAGCTCATCAAGTTCACTAGTTGGTACTGAAATAAGGAGGAAAAACAAACCCTACAAATTCTACATGGGTAGTGGTTACTTTACTAAATAAAATGACAATTTCACCAAAAAAAAAAAAAAAAATCATTTTTCACGTTTAGTTGATCAAAAAATATAATAAAAATACATTAAAAATAAAATTTTCATTTATCAGTGTAAGTGAATGTTCATGACATATAAATACTAACAAAATATCATTTTATTTCATTCTACTTTTATTCAAGTTAACCAAAAAGCTTTCCACATCATACAACTAGCTATGTATGTATAAATGACTCTAGGTGATGAATAAGAAGCCGTCTGTTTACCTCTTCTTGCCTTTTTCATTACCAACCAACAAACTAGTGAAATAATCAAGGCCAACATCACAACAATAGATGTCACCACAATGGCCTTCTTTTTATTAGCGCTTATGGACCTCTTCTTCTTCAAATGTTGATCTAGAAAAGAAGAAAAAAAGAAGAACATGGTCATTGATTCAATTTGAAATATGAATCAGCCAAGGTAGATCATAATAGTGTAAAGGGAAAACTTCACTTCAGTGATTTGGGCCATGTGTGATTTATCCCCCTAGCATTTGAAAATGACCACATAACCTCTTTATGGTTTGTGAACTGAAGTGCACTGTTAGGCCGGTTAATAATTTAATGAAAAAGACTAAAATACCCTTGTATTTTCGTCATTTGTTCGGAAGGTAAAGTATACTTTAACCCCATGTGATTTATTACCTTGTAATTTGAAAATGAGCATATAGCTCTCTTATATCTACCACATGTTTCACACTTGCTCTTAAGTTGGACAACATGTTTAACGGTGCACTTCAGTCTACAAACTAAGTGGGGATCATGTGGTCATTTCTAAATATTAGGGAGGTAAACCGCACATGGCTTAAATCACATGAGGTAAAGTGAAGTTTGCTCTAGTGTAAATTACAAAGAAATAAAAGTTTATTTACAAGTGATTTTCTCATTGGTTGTGTGCTCCACCGATAGTAAGGGTTGGTTTAGGGACAAGCTAAATAAGTGTCTTATTTGTTACAACTTGTCACATTACCTTTCTATTTTTCTGCACATTTTATAAAAAGTCGCCAAATAAACAAACTTCAAACCAACCCTAAGAGCCTAATAATTACGTAGTCTTAAAAATAAGAATATCATAGAACAATGACAAATGTACTATTGGATGGACCCGCAACCACGTGATCTTTCTAACTCATGATAATTTGTAACAAAATTTACCATTTTCCTCCCTTGCTATAACCTAAAGGTGGGAAACGGTTAGGTATTAACAAGTTTGGGTGGATCAAAATGGGTTATGCATTTAAAGCAACACAACCTAAACTCGTCTATTTAATAAGTTGGCTTAAATTGATTGGGTTGAATTGGATACAGATTGGACAAATGAATCCAACTAATCCATTTATTTCATCTCTTTATATATATATATATACATATATATATTTTATATTTTTTGAAAAAAAAATTATTTTTAAAATTACTTTTAATTTTTTCAAACTTTTTAAATTTTATTTTTTTCAATTTTCAATTTTTATTTTTTAATTTTTTTTGTTCTTTTATGATGATGATGGTGATGGTGGTGGAGTAGCAGTAATGGTGGTAGTGTAATGATAGTGGTGAAGGTGGTGATGGGGTGCTGATGGTGGTGGTGGTAGTGGTGGTGGAGAGTGGCGGTAATAGAGGAGGTGGTGTGTCGATTGTGGTGGTCATGGTAGTGAAGTGGCGGTAATGGAGGAGAAGGTGCTAGTAGTGGTGGTAGAGTGGCGGTAGTAGATGAAGTGATAGTCGAGCGGTGGTGGTGGAGTGGCGATGGTAGAGGTGGATTGATGGTAGAAATGGTGCCCATTTAAACGGGTATAAATGGATAATCATGTCCAACCTATGTAAACCCAATTTTAATTGGGTTGACAATGAATAACTCATTTAAGCCTATTTATTGATTTGGATGGATTTATATGAGCTTTAAGTAAATACAATTGGACTCATTTAAGCCATCTCCTCCTCCATTATCAAAACCATTGCCCCAAACTACGGGTGATTCTATATATATCCAAATAATAACTCAGTATGTCCAATTAAAATTTTAAATTTTTAGTTCCTATTATACCCTAATATAAATTTATTAATAAGGATAATACACATTAAACCCTAAAATAATTTTTTTTTTCCCTCATGCTACATACTAATCACTTATGCATATTGTTCATATTCAAGTCTCTTTTTCTTCTTTCCTAAATTTTAATTATTTTCTCTTAATCTTCTTTCTCACTCCATAACTTCAATCCATTACACCAAAACTCACACAATTATTGTGTTGTTACTTGCAAATAGAATGAAGTTTGAATAAAATAAAACAATAGATGAGAGTAATAATGATGAATATTTTTTGAAGCAATCTATCAAAGAGGAAGTAAGTCTTCAAAATTAAGAAGCTTGTCACAAGATTTGCAAAAGAACATAGCACAAATCCACCAATTTGCACTGAGAGAGAGAAGAGTTTCCCAGGAATAGATAGTTGCTTCATACATAGGAAATAAGAAAATGAGGCTTCTGAGGTCAAATGCACACCTACCTTTTATATGTACCAAATAATGGGAGCTGTTCATACCACAAGTACAAACATATACATACCGGTGACGGGGCTGGGGTTTTTTCAACCGTCATTCTCTTTCACCGTTGTCGTATTCCCTCTATGTGAATAGAGCAAAAAAGTTTTTTTCAAAGTGGTGTAATTTGGAATTTTTGATTTGTTTATTATTTGGGTATACCATTTTATCTTAAAAGGTAATTTATGAAAAAACATAGAATGCATTTAGAATAAATTATAATCATAAATAATTTAATAGGGAGTATTGAAAAATTGAACGTGCAAAATGATTATTTTGGTGCAAATAAAATCTCCCCCAAAACTACCCATGAACTCATGATTTTTTGTCAAGCATGGTTATGATGGGTATTAATGGAATGAGATGGGACAGAAACACAATACTAAGAATATTTTGTCTCTATGGGAACAGTGAGGACATTTTTGTTTCATATCAAATCAAATAGTTATCGATATCTAATCAATATAATTTTTTAAAATGATGATGTACTAAATAGGTTTTACAAATTGAACATTTCAAATTATCAACATAGACCCGAATTACGGCCCACCAATGCTGAACAACTCTCTCTAATAACTAAAAAGGAGCCAAGTCCCTTTCATATATACAGATGTTTGAAATGTACAACCATTTAAATCTTTTTTACAGCTTAGAATGAACTAATTAATTCGTATAATTTTAAAGTAATCAATAATTAATATTAATATATAAAGAGAATTTTTAAAATTGTACAGAGGCGATTCTCCCTTTGGTCTATTCTTGGCCAAGTATATTGTACCTTTTTAGAAACTACCATCCCCCCCCAAAAAAAAAAAGACAAAAAAAAGACAAATAAAAATCTACACAATTATCAATGATTTTAGATAGGTGGGTATAATTTAGCATAATGAAATTGGTTAATTAACATACCTAATTCATCAGCATCAACACGTATATACCAATCAAGCGGAGCATTATCGAACTTTCTTACATCCATCAAATCTCCATACCATGTGATACAGTTGCCCAAATCAACTACACTTGAGTAAGCCTTGCAAGAACAGTTCATCAAGCACATCGTTTCACACTCATTCATGCTCAGCTGCGGCGCCACACGTGCCCAAGATGTATCTGGAATCTTTGAACCTACGACCTTCACGAACCCTTCTCCATTCCCACACGTGCCAAGCCCCGCACGCTTCTTCTCCACACACCCGCCTGTCGTATCTCTTAGATTCCATTGCTTCGCTGACTTGGGCTCGTGCCCTGGAAGACATGTGCACTCAAACCCCGCTGCTGGCAATTTGCTTTCGTCACAATAGCCATACGCACCACACTGCCCATAATTGGCACATGGTTCATTCGGAGCCGAGTAGAACTCGACCCATTTACCCTGACCCTTCACATCGACCCACGTATCCATTTTTAAATCCCCAACAAGTTCGTCCAAAAAAATTTTAGACAAACGCGAGCCATTGACCTGAGCATAAGCTATACTGACTTCCTCAGGATCATCAATGTAACTCGAGTGGAACATGAAATTAGTGAAATTCTCAGTCAGTTTGCTCCCAATCGATGGTAAGATCCGATATAATCGGACTGAGCCCTTGTACAATACAAGTTCGGGCAAACCACTTGGTACCATCCTATACGAGTATTCTCCTGTGCCCGGATCGTCTTTCGACTTCCATGATGTCAGGAACCGGTCCAGACCGGTGCTCCGGTCCAGCCCGAGTTTCATGTTGGGCAGCAGAGTATTCGTAGGATAATCAAAACTTTGCCATGCGACAAAACTTTCATTTTTAGTATCACTGCCTTGAAACAACAACATCAAATTCCCCGAATCCAAGAGCCGAGCTGAATAAGAATTGCTCGTGGCCATCACTGGTGCTGAAACGTTTGTATGCCAAAGTGTAACATTTTGGGAATTGCCATCGTAGATGACGAGGTTTCCGTGTTGGTCGATAGATATTGCTCCGGATGTGCCGTTGATTGGTTTGTCTCGATTGGCAACCCAAACTACGGTTTGTTCAGAGATCTTGTAGTACCATATTCCAACATACCTACGATTGGATGTTCCATTTCTGGGACTGAAAAATCCAAGTGCGAAGGTCTCATCGTTGGAGACTAACAAGTCACCGTCTTTGATAGGTCGTGTTGGAGTTATGGTGTCTGTGGATTTGCAAAATCCAAAGAAAAGAAACAGAAGCAAGAAAATATTGAACACCCAATTTTCAGGATTCATCATTTTGGGTTGGTGAAATTGAGAGACACGATCTAAGAGCATCCCAAACAATGTTATTTATATTTCTTTTAAATTTTATTTTATTTTAAGAGATCACTTTTTTAATTACTTTCCCAATACTCCTTATTCTTTTACTACTTTATTTAAATATTATTTTATTATTCTTTTTCAATTAAACTTGTTTTTTAAAAAATGTAAGAGGAGCTAATTTAAGCCCACTAAATTATTCAGGCTCAATAGCCCAAGATTAATGGGCCCGAATTTATCGCAAGTCCAAGATTGATGGGCTTGGATTTATCGCCGTCAAACGGGCTGAATGGCTCTAAGCCTCGAAAGGGTTCGGATCCACGAACCTAGAGACTTACTCGAGCCCGGACTCGAAAGGGTATTAAGCAAGCCTAGAGATCCGAGGCACTCGGACTCGAAAGGATTCGGATCCACGAATCTAGAGATCCGAAGTACTTGGCTTCGAATGGATTCAGACGCAATCTAGAAGTCGCTCCGTTAATGAGTCCCAGAACACTTGTGGGCTCGGAGCTTTCCGGGATCTACGCGCCAGAACCATGGGCGTAATGGAGTTCGAACAAAGGACCCGATCCCGAGGACGGTGAGTGGAGATAAATTCACTCTTCGGTTAAACTAGCCTATACCCGGGTCGAGGTGGCACGACCCCGGGGGGTCCATGAGACTCGGCAATATTTTTGCGGCAGGACGTCCTCTGGGACTACCCCTGACCCTTTGGGATGATTGGGGATCATTGGTTAGGTGTGGCTAAGAAGAAGGGTTCGCCGAGGGATTGATCTCCCCTTCGGGGTTTTTCTCATCCTCGGAGAAGTCAACTCCTCGGAGAGGTCACCTCCTCGGACAAGGTGGTTAGAGAGAATATCCCCCATGTGCCTTGCACATGGGCTCCATCCTACATCATGAGGTGCCTATAAATAGCACCCACCCATAGCTTTACAAGGGATGAATTTTTGGAGATTTTTCAACTCTTGGAAAGAACTAATTTCCCATCTCCATTATCAACCTTGAGAGTGAAAGTGGGAGAGCCTTGCCATTATTCTCTCTCTAGCCATTTTGCCTTCTTCTTCACCCAATCTCTTATCTCCATCATCCCCTTTACTTTTGTGTTCTTGAGTTGAGACCATTGAAGAATCTAAGCCTCTCACATTTTTTCTAGAGAATTCGAAGTTGTTATTCAAGGATCTTTGAAGATCTTCGAATTTTCCAACTCCTTTCTTGAACCCTCTCCTACAAAAAGTTAATGTAAGAATAAAATTAGAGAGAGTAAAGAGAAAAAAAGAGACTGATGGGGGAAGGAATTGATAATGTTGTTATTGTTCAGGAGGTTGTCCACAGCTTTCGTGCTACAAAAGGCAATAGTGGCAAAATGCTCATCAAGATTGACTTAGAAAAGGCCTTCGATAGACTTGAGTGGGGGTTCATTTGACACATACTCATTTTCTTCAATTTCCCAAAGATTTGGATTGACATCATCCTCTCTTGCATTTCTTCCTCTACCATGTCAATCCTGTTCAATTGTGGTACAACAGACACCTTCTTCCCCTCCCACGGTATTCAACAGGGTGATCCTCTCTCCCCCTATCTCTTTATCCTTTGCATGGAATACCTGTCCATTGCCATCACCCAAGCTTGTGATCAAAAACTATGGTCACCCATTAAAATCAGTAGATTCGGTCCCACCTTATCCCACTTATTCTTTGCCGATGACCTAATCCTCTTTGGAAAAGCCACTGAGGAAAATTGCTCAACCATAGCCTCTGTCCTTAACGACTTCTGTTGCAAATCAGGCCAAAAAATCAATCTGAGCAAATCCAAAATTTTCTTCTCTGCCAACTTGGATGATAATGCCAAGACCCACCTTGTCAACAAACTCCAAATCTCGATTACCACTAGCCTTGGGAAATATCTTGGTTGCCCCATTCACCACACTCGTCCATCCGCCAACTCCTTCTTCTTCATCGTGGAACAAATCCAAAATAAATTAACCGGTTGGAAATCCAAATTACTATCCCTCCCAGGCAAAGTCACCCTTATCAAAGCATTCAATTCAGCCATTCCTAACCATGTCATGCAATGCAACCATATCCCTAAGTCTGTTACCAATAAAATAGACAAACTCAATAGGGACTTCCTTTGGGGTACCACCTCCGAAAAAAAGAAAATACACTCCATCAGTTGGGATAACATAGCAAAGCCTAAAAAAGTTGGAGGGTTGGGTATTAGACAAGCTAGCCTAGTAAACAAAGTCAACATCGCCAAGCTCAATTAGAGACTACACTCTGAAAAAAAAAAAAAACTTTGGGCTAAAGTTCTGAACTCCAAGCCCCGATCTAAGTCCTCAATCCTCTCTCCCACTTGGAAAGGAATTAACAAAGGGACTGAGCTCTTCCTATTAGGCTCCAAAATCCTCGTTCGAAATGGCCTCCATACCTCTTTTTGGTTTGACAACTAGTTAGGCCATGGCCCACTCAGATCCCTCATCGAAGGGCCCCTCACCCTCTCTGACCAACACCTTTTGGTTAGAGATTGTTGGGCGGAAAACTCTTGGAACCTAGACAGCCTCTCCTTTTCTCTCCCAACTTGTATCACTAACCTTCTCTCTTGCATCACTCTCCAATGGTTTAATCCCACTGATGATTGCCTCACTTGGAAACTCTCACCTGATGGGTCCTTTACCTCCAGCTTTGCTTACCTTCACTCCAAACCCTTTCCCCCATCCCCTCCCTTTGATAACTGGACTTGGCTCTGGAAGAGTCGAACTTCACCTAGAATGTCCCATTTCCTCTTTGCTCACTCTTCACCAGCGCCTTAGTACCAAAGACAACCTCCTCCTTCACCATATCACCAGTGACTCTATCTACCCTCACTACCTTATCCATCTTGAAACTACCACTCACGTCCTTAGGGACTGCAAATTTGCCAAACATTTCTGGGATGCTCTCTAAATCCCAGCCGATGCCACTCCCTCTTTCGCCCACCCTCTTATTGTCTGGATTAAATCTAACTGTACCTCCAACCTAACCCACAACTCATCTGCAGACTGGTCAGTCTTTTTTCCCATCTCTTGCGGGTTCATTTGGAAAAATCACAATTTTGGGTGTCTCTCCACCCCCAACGCTCGCTCAGTCCCTCCTTAGCCATTGCATCTACCATCGAATGGCAACATCTCTCTCCATCCAGGCAACCACGCCACTCTACACCATCCACTATCTCTTGGCTCCCCCCCAAACCTGGCCTTTTGAAGCTCAATACCGATGGTGCCTCAAAAAACAACCCTGGGCTTGCTGCTGCTGGTGGTATCATTAGGGATTGGACGAGTAAGTGGATTTCTAGTTTCTACCGCAACATTGGCCACTCGTCTAGTATCGAAGCTGAACTTTGGGCCATGCGAGATGGTCTAAAACTTGCTCTTGACCTTAATCTCATAAGAATAGAAGTGGAAACAGATGCAACTATCATGCAAAATCTCATTCTTGGTAATTCCAACCATTGTCATCAACTTAGCAATCTCATTCAAGACTACAGGTACCTCCTGGACCAGCTTGGAACCTCGACTATTAGCCATACCTACCGCGAAGGAAACAAATGCGCAAACTTGCTTTCCAACGAAGGATTCAATCATGAGGGTCTACTTGTTTTTTCTTCTATTCCTAATTGTATTTCCCTTCAAGCTTTTGAAGACGCTAGGGGTTCTTTTTACCCTAGAAATGTAACTGCTTAACTATTATCAATCTAATTTCCATCTTTATTACCAAAAAAAAAAAAAAGAAAAAAAGAGGAGAGAAAAATTAATATTATATCTTTAGGGAATGAACAGTGACTCCACATACAGAGTGTCATTATAGCATTTGTTAAATTAAGAAACTTTTAAAGGGATCTGATGGAAATAATTTTTAAAATTTTCACACCGTAAAATAAATAAAAATTTATAATAATAGAGAATCTGTTGGATGCTCTAAAGAGAACTGTTAGATAATGTCTCAATGGGACCACATAATTAAATGTGGTGTTATCATTTATAAGAAGCCTACAATTTAAGTGATTCAATTTAGTTAATAGGCTTAAGGGTATATGTGTTATGGACCTAATGTGTAGATACTAGTTGTATAATTTCTATTTCTATGAGGGGCAGAAATAGAAATTAAAACATAATGGTTAAAGTTGGTTTTCATTCCTTTTCAACTTCCACAACCTTTCAGTTTTGAAAACCAATAAATAGAAATTAAAACCAATAATGGTTAAAGTTGGTTTTCATTCCTTTTAAACTTCCACAAAATCAACATCTCCTCTCTACTTTTTCTACACATAATACAAAAAAAGTCAAAAAGTGCACTTATTTAGTCTTCCCAAACTAGGCCTTATATTATTTTGGTTTCTAAAATTTAATTGACTCAATTTTAATTTTGAATTTTTTACTTTGTCTTGAATTGGTCCAATTTATTTCAATTGTTAGCATTTTTTTATGATAAATGCGCACATGAATTACACGTTTCATGTTTTAGGAGTAGAATTATAAACTTGATCAATTCAATTACTTAACCTTAGCCAACTCAATGAACATTTTTCAACAAAATTTTAATGGCATTATTAATTTAACTTACTTGACTCAAAATCTAAAATCAAGAGTTAAAATTGAACTAATTGAAACTGTAACAATTAAAATAATACAAAAATATAAGGACTCCAGTGTTATTTAGCAAAAATAAATATAAATTTTGGACCCAAAAAATTTATGAAATGAATTTTTTTTACAAAATTTGTTGATGCAACGTACTTCTTAAAAATCTTAACCATCAATTATTTTATGAGAAATATAAAAAAAGTAGAGGATAAAAATAATAATTCCAAAATGATGATAATATAAATTTTTATTGCATTAATTTATGTATGAACTACTTATATTATACTTCACTTTTTTAAAATTCCTCCTTTATTTGATGTATCCCGAGTTTGATTTCAATATCCAGAGACTTATTGAAAGAAATTTTGTACT